GAACAGAAGTTGTCAAGTTGTGCCCTCAGCAGAGACCCCGTGTGCAGTGCTGCTGCTGCTACAGACGTATCAGGCCAGAGGTTTTAACGGATCGTGCACCCACAGCTCAGGTTTTATTATGGTGACGTGGTTAAATGGAGTGCACTAAGGTCAACGCTCATCCCAGCATCGCTACCAGTATATAACAGTTACAATCACGAACCTTCCACCCGACCGTAAATCATCGTTGCTCCCTGAATGTGCGTCACAAAAGCTCAGTCTCTTTAAACACACCTATCGTACACCTATAATAATATATAAAGCAGTCCTTAGATAGATACCAAACGGAGAACGCTATGGCTTTTGAAAACGAAAGTTGGGTCACATTTTGTTGTTTGCTGTTTATAAATCGTGCCATGGGAGATGGAAAAAGTTCATCAAATCTCTCACAGAAAGAGGGTCATATTACGTCACCTTCTGTCGGGGAACGGAGCTGAGAGATGATAACACAGCACGTACTTCTGAATTCCCTTCAATAAGCCTCTTATCCACATATAGTTGCTGCACCTTTTTGGGTGTCCTGTACAGAGATTGTTTATTGCATTGGGGCCAAACTGGAATTTGCTCATCGTCTGGAAACTGCAGAATGACACGGTTAATTGTATTTAATGTGGATTTTAGTGCTATAACCTTTTCTGAGATCTTTTCAAGTGTCTTTTATATCCATACATCAGGGGCACACTTCTTACAGAGAAATGTTCATTGCGGGTCAGTCAAGCTGATATGTTTAATTCCCAGAGATGCGATGCCCCGGAAAATTCGATTTAAATTTTTCTTTTTTACTTTTTTAAATTTGGGATTGAGTTGAGACTTCTTGCACTTGAGAACCCCGGCTTAATCAAATGTCCAGATTCAAACTCAGCGGGACCCCTGAGCCAATGTGCAACTCGATTATTTTAATGGTTTCCAATTAAAGTTGAATTAGCACTTGAGCATTACTAAACTGAAACTATCTTTTATTTCACCAGGTCAGGTCCACCGAGCTATATAGCTCTTTTTCAGAAGCGACCTGGTCACAAATTATAGCTCAACAATTTGGCTTATTACGTGGAAATGTGTAACAGCCAAATATTCTGAACGCGTGATGTTGATCCTGAATGTGGAGAAAACCCGGAGGACCTGGAGAATAATCCATGCAACCACGGGGAGAGAAACATGCAAACTCCAAATATACAGACATCAGGGTCGGGATCGAACCCACGACCTCCTGTATACCAGGCGAGGTAGTTAACATCCCGCCACCGCGGCTCCCTGCTCTGTCTGTCTGTCCCTTAGCTCTGTCCGTCTGTCCATCTGTAGCGGGTGGTCAAAATAACTCCCGTAAAGATAATCCAATATAAATACAATTTTGGTATTAAGTTGTGTTGCTATGGGACTTACCCTAGAGAAAATAAGACGCGATGATAAAAGCTTTGCTCAAAAACTTGGTGATTAAAAAAAGCATCCAGTGCTAAACAGATAAGACTGTTTGGCCAATGCGATGATGTCACACACTTTCCGTGGCACCAACACGTGCGACACCATCTCATTGTGCACTTCGGAAGGCCGCGTTGTCATCACTCGTTAAATATTTTCCGAGGACAAACAGGATTTGGACAGCGCTGCGGAATCCATGCGAGCGCGTGACTTGTCGCCGTCTCTAAAACCCAAACTCATCCACGTCGGGCGGCGGCGCCTCCATCTGCTCCCGGATCCAGGAGACGTAGTTGGCGAGGCGCGTGTACACGCCGTACAGGCCCTCACGACCACACTCGCCGGGGCCGCCCCACGACACGAGGCCCCGCACCACCCAGTGCTGCCCGGGCCCCACCTGGCCCCTGCGACTGCCGCCCTCCATCCCGTCTCCCGCACCGAAGCCCAAATCCCCAGCGCTGCTGCTCTCTACGATCCTACCCTCCTCTTCGTTCTCGCCACCGCTCCTGCCCTCTCCCAACGTGCTCCGTCCCTCGGCTGCGCTGCCGCCCTCCACGCCGCTGCCCGCCGCGGCGTCGCCGCTCTCGAGCCGGACGAAAGCGCCCCCGCTGTCGCCTACGCACGTGTCGCGGCCGCCCTCCTTGTAGCCAGCGCAGAACATGTTGTCCGTGAGGCGGTAGCTGGGCCGGGGGCCGAGCGCCTGCCGGAAGCCCTCCTCGCACTCCTCCGCCTCCACCACGGGCAGCTTTACGTACTGCAGCGTGGGGGACACCATGGTCGACGACGAGGAAGAGGACAGAGGCGATGACATGTTTTGCCAGGCGGTGGAACCCCAGCCCGACACCACGCCCAAGTCGCCCGGGCGCAGCTCATCGTCGAGGGCTCCTGCTCCCTTGCCGTCGCCGTTCCCCTCCTCCCCCGTCTCCTCGGCATCGCGTCGCGCGGGGGGCCTCCACGGCCGGCGCCTCCGCCAGGGTGGGGCCCAGCACGAGGTGGTCCACCGCTTGCTGCGGCGTCTGCGCGAGCGGGAGGAAGAGGTGGACCCTCTGCGGCCGCGGAGTCCCCGACGGCACCGGCGAGCCGCCGCGGCTCGGGGCGCCGTCCAGGAGCGGCGCTCCGTCGTCGTCGCCGTCCGACGCCAGACCGAAGCTGTCCCCCCTCTCCAGCGGCTCCGTGTCTCCGGCGCCTTCCAGAATGAAGCCCTCCCGCGAGCGCCTCCCCTCGTCCCTCTCTCCCTCCCGCCCGAGAGGAAGGTGCTGCGGGTGGCGCGGAGAATCGGTGGCCGGAGGCCGCGCCTTCTCCGTCGCAGCGGCCGCGGGGGGCAGGCACACGGGCATGACCAGCGGGCCGAGATGCACGGCCTCGCGCAGTTCGATCAGCGCCACGTCGTTGTCGTAGGTTTTGGGGTCGAAGCGCGGATGGAGGATGATTCTGGCCACCTCTGGCCGGAGCGCGGATCCCGCGTGCTTGTCCGTGCCCCCGCTTCTACCACCACCGGCACCGTCGTCACCGTCACCACCACCACCACCACCGCCTCCACCACCACCACCACCGCCTCCACCACCGCCACCACCGCCTCCACCAACACCGTAGGGATCATCGTACTCATCGCCGCCGCCGCCCCGCCGTGCGTCCCCGGCCGGCTCGGGCCCATCCCTGACGCGCACGTCCGTGAAGCCAAGGTAGACGCGCAGGCTGTCGGGCGGCACCGCCTCGACGGCCCAGCGAGGCACCGGGAGCAAAGACTGCGACGCCACCGCCGCGGTCGCCGCTGACGACGACGACGACGAGAACGCCGCCGAGAGCGAAGAGGAGCGGGTGCGTCGCCATGGCAGCAGGACGTGCGCCGCCGTGACCAGCCAGCGCGGCGCGAGCAGCGCGGCGCCACCGAACCACGGCTCGGAGTTGACGCGCGCCGGGTCGCGTGCCACCACCAGCGCCTGCCACGGGAAGGCGCCGGGCTCGGCCGCGAGGCCGCCCACGATCCGCTTGCGCAGCGGAGGGAGGCGGCGGCTGGGGCGGCCGCACACTGACGCACAGCGCAATGCAACTACGGTTGCCAACCTGTCCTCGATTTCTCGGGATTGTTATTTTTTTTTTACGTAGCTGCTGTCCTGGGAAAAAAACTAATCTGTATGTCTCCTCTGGGATATTAAAAGTCCAGGGGTTTTTTGTTGTCAGTCGTATAATAATAATTATAATGAAGATACAGCACACTGCTCAAGACAATGCATTCGCGTGAATTCTCCCCTCCTGCTGGTACAGTGAAATATCCTTCATCTTCACATGATATGCCCCGGGAGCTCTGTGGTTACTCGATCTGTCATAGATGCTTGGGTGAATTCGTGAGAAAAGCGGCAGTGTCGCCAAACTCAAACTCGCGGAGTGTACCAACGTAATAAGTTTAAGACTCGGCTTGCAAACAATTCGTATTTACTACAATACATGAAAATAGTATCAAATAGTATATAATACCGAGGAATAAATTAACTTTAAACAGATATATAAGGACTTACTTCATTTAGAGGCATTTTGGAGCAGTGCAATACAGTATTTTACTGTACTACAACTATATAGTAAACGACATACTAAATTACGGCTGCCTGGCACTTCACATTAAAAAATTTGGTGGTTAATTATTTTTACTACTTTATTATTCGCATATTTGTATTCTCTTAAATCTTTAGGGGTCCCCAAAAACACCCCGTAAGATGCAGGACGGACACGGTACACCCGCCCGCAAAATGTCACGGGCGAATTTTTGAACTTCAGCAAAAAAAAATGTAAAAAGGAAAAATTGCAATATTGATGTAAATAGCTTTCCAAAGGGGAGGAAGCGGAGGGTGTGTGGAGCAGTCGTCTGAGATCGGGAGAACCAGAAGTGATTTGTAGGAGCTTATCGCTTAACGCGCTAATGATGCTGAAAGTTTATAGGCGCGGTGTAATTATGCTCGCGTCCCATCCCACACCTCCCCTCCGCGTCGCACCCGGCAAAGAAACGAGCGGGGTGTTCGTACTCAATCCCAGAGGCGGCAGGGATGGCTCTCCTGAGGCCTATCTTGCTGCTGGTCACTGCGGGGAGCCGCCGTCAGGACGTTATCCGTGCCACGCCGGGCGCAATAACTCGCACGCAGACTCGTGCAATCGTTAGTACTCACCAGGTGACCCCATGTCATCGTTAGTACTCACCAGACGTGTCACCGTTAGTACTCACCAGACGTGCCCGTGTCATCGTTAGTACTCACCAGACGTGTCACCGTTAGTACTCACCAGGTGACCCCGTGTCATCGTTAGTACTCACCAGACGTGTCATCGTTAGTACTCACCAGGTGATCCCGTGTCATCGTTAGTACTCACCAGACGTGTCATCGTTAGTACTCACCAGACGTGCTCGTGTCATCGTTAGTACTCACCAAGTGTCATCGTTAGAACTCACCAGACGTGCTGTGTCATCGTTAGTACTCACCAGACGTGCTCGTGTCATCGTTAGTACTCACCAGACGTGCTCGTGTGATTGTTAGTACCCACCAGTACCTACTAGTACCTACCGGGCTCACAGTACGGCTTCTTCTCTCCCGTTTCTGGGTTCATCCACGCGCCCGTCTCGTTGCAAACGAACTTTGCTGTGTGACGAGATGGCAGAAAAACAATAACAACAACAACAAAAGCGAAAGCAAATGAGACTCAAGTGAGACACAAGTGAGACACAATAAGTCGGACGAGGGAGCCAAGCAGTGAGTACGCCGTTGGATTCTGGAGCGCTTTCCCAAGCGCCGTTTGTCTGTGGTGGCTGTCACAGGCACTTGCGTAAAGTCGTGAGATCAGCGGCAGTGTAGCCAAACTCAAACTCAGCACTGTGTGCAAACTTAATAAATTCAAGATACAGTGTGCAAACAATTCTAAAGGGTTTCAATTTGTAATGTCATCGTCACCTCCGGAATCCTGAAACATTTTAGCTGAGGTTTTTAGATCATGTTTTGGGCAATTCGGGTGGTTTTCGCTAAAGTAAATCCCGAATGCCGACGTGACTTCACGTTCATGTCAGATCACTTATACGAGAGTTATCGTGTCCCCTTGTTACAGACAGACACTCATGCTAACTAGAACAATTTTTATTTATTTTACCAGGTAAGGCCCAGAAGCGACCTGGCCACAAATGATAGCGCAACCAAGTGGCTTATCACGTGGAAATGTATAGCAGCCAAATACTCTAAACGCGTGTTTAAAAATGTGGAGGGAAAAACCGGAGGACCGTGAGAAATTTGCACACAACCACGGGGAGAACTCGGAAACTCAAAATATACAGCAGGCGTTGGGATCGAACCCACGACCTCCTGTATACCAGGCGAGGTTATTAACATCTCCTAGCCACTGTGGAACCTACCCCCCCTCCCCCCCCCCAATGGTGTGTTAAAACAAGAAAGGTTTACGTTTAGCTTTTTTTGTTCTTTTAACTTTCGCCGGTCCTGCTTTATGGAGGAGAAAAATAGCAAATGTGGACAGAAGAGAAAGCAGGGAAAGTTTACCGGAGGGTCTTCGTTTTACATTTCGGGCACATTCCTCGGTTTGGGGAGGGGTTAGAGTAATTCAACGCGTTAAGGCCCCCCTCAATTATTTACGAATGAGTTTGCGTAGGAAAGGTGTTCTAATTAAACCCCCGGCGTCGATGCCGCGCGAGACTACGGGCGCCGGCTCTGCCAAGCGTCGAGTGTGAATTCAGGCGGTGGGGTCTTGCGGTCAGACCCCTCTCACCCAGTGTTCCAAATTTTAATCATTTTTCCTGGCCAAAAAGGAAACAAATATACTAAAGCTGGCTAGCACCTCACATATACGGCGTCCTTTTGCTATCCACACTCCAATTTCAATCTAAAATTTAATTCCATTATTTAAAAGCAATGTACGACTTTGTTGATATCAAGATATATATTTTTTTTATCAAGGGAAACCTGCATCGAATAAAATCATCAAAACAGCAAACAGGATCCGGAGTCGCAGATTGAAACACAGGGTTAAATATCAGCAAGGCAAACGTCACAAGAGAAGATGTGCTGGAGTGATTAAATACAGTTTCACACTTAAATCAAAAGCATTTGTCAGATCATACAGGTTCTAGAGATCAGCGATTAAATCACAGAGTTAATTTATGCCCCCTCCCACCGCCTCAATTTTTCGAAGGTATTTAATTCCTACAGCTATGCTAAAAGTCTTCATAAATCATACACCTTTCACAAACACTGAGAAGATGTTAAACCGTGATGCTGCACGAAATATATATATGGGGCAAATGTGAACTTTATCAAGAAGCAGTGTTAACTAACCACTACAGCATGTAAGAGGGTGACCTGGGTTGTTGTGTTCGTTTCACGTTTTCACGGTCGTATCTCCAATTTCGTGCTTTTTGTACTTTCATCCAAGATCTTTGTTGCAAAAAACCAAGACGTCGCATATCTCAGCGGGCATTTGCCCGTTTGAAAAACAAAATTAATCTGTAAGGAAATTTCCCGAACGTGCGTACTGTATTGAAAGCCGGGCTAGTGCAGTACTATTATTAATCAGGGTTGGAGCAATGGATAGTGAACCGTGCTCTAAACCCAGCGACCTCAATTTGATTACCAACCCCGGTGAGTGACCTTTGAACCATTTCTCCTGACCCATAGCCTTTCTCCAACCTTCATTGCCCAGCGAGGTGAAGTACGGTAAAAATATATAAACACATGACAAACACGGCTTGCGGGAATCCTTCATTCAGCAGTAGATTGAGAAAGGGCTGTAATTAATTATCAGCATCATACATCAGTGGCACATACATCGAGTACTGTCAGCGCTACAGCGCCACGCACAGAGAACAACACTTAGAGAAAAGGAAACGGAACGTGAGAAGAATCACCGCGACTGTTTTATCCCTACTATTTTATTATGTTCAACAAAACGTTCTGTTGGCAACAACACAGAAGCCCCAGAGAGAGGGAGGGGAAAGTGGGAGGGGGGTCTGGCTCTCATTTTCAAATTGTGTTAGCCTGACCTGAATCCGCGGGAGTGCTGAACCTCCATCAAATCTGAGGCGAAAGGCCCAAATCCCCAAATGATACTTCGTGGTCAGGGAAAGAAAAGATGAACTTTCCATCCGGGGTGTTGTTAAACGAATTCATAATAAATGAAGAAAAATACCAAATGCTCTTTTCGCATTATTCATTTTGAAGTTTTAGTTTCGTACTTTTAAATAAGTTTACTGCAACCGAGTGCCAGTGCAGCTCGATTGTAAAGAAGAAGAGCTTATCCATTCTTTGGGGGGGGAGTGGGGGAGGCCATGTTTGATACGAGTGCTGGCAATTTTCCAAGATAAATTTGGCCACAAGGACGGCTTGCATAATATTAAAATAATGCATTATGGCTTGCTTATATCCTCAGCTTCCCTTGCAAGACGCTTCTTACAAAGGATGGCCCGCTGCTTTGAAAAATGTCTGGATCTTTGTGAACAGAACCTTTTTCCATGCAAATTTCAATCCATGGACTTTCGCCTGCTTAGCTGGTGCAAGCCATTACCCCCCCCCCCCCCCCAATTTCTGGCTGGTGCCAGCTTTTGTCCAAAATTTTGAAAAGGTAAAGGTGCAGCCCTGAATTTCCTGGCCTGTGACCGCTGCTGCTGGCGGACGGGCCTCCACGAGAGGTCGACGTTTCCCGTTACAGCTCTGGTCATGCCCTCTCCAGCTTAATATCCCAGCGTGGAACGGTGGCGAGATGTTAAATACCTCGCCTGGTATACAGGAGGTCGTGAGTTCGATCCTGACCCTGACGTCCGTGAATTTGGAGTTTGACATGTTCACCCCGTGGTCGCGTGGATTTTTCTCCGGGGTTCTCCGGTTTTCCCCTCCACATTTAGAAATGTACATTTAGAGTATTTGGCTGCTATAAATTTCCACACTATAAGCCACTTCGTTGAGCTATCATTTGTCGCCAGGTCCCCTTCTGAAAAAAGAGCTACATAGGTCAGTGGGCCTTACCCTGGTAAAATAAAAAATAGTTTAGGGAAATAAAAAGGCAGGTTTATTAACTTCCCCCCCCCCCCAACCGCCTTTGTCCACTGCAGGATAAACTGGTACCCCATAGTTGGTCGACCCACAGGTCACGTGCAGTGGAGTAAAGTGAGAGTGCTCCCACATTTTTCAAGACGTGTTGCCAGCGTGGTAGAGATCACCCAAATACCCTCGAGAGTGACGCGATAGAGCTCCGTGTAGCGGAAGCCTCCCTTCTGCCGGCAGTCGCGTCAGCTAGACAATGCAAGGGCTGCACCGTTACCCATCATTATTTTATTATCATTTTCATAAAAAATATTTCTTATTTTCTCATCATTTTACTATTATTTATTGTTATTTTTATTTTACTTAAAAAAATATCTTTCATTATTTTCTATACATATTTTCTATACATATTAAAAAAATCATTGTCATTCAATTTGGCCAAAATATCTTCTTGGTTCTTTCGGTAAAGTCACGCAGAAGGGAAATAATAAAATAATGAAATTAAAACATAATAAAATAATTCTCACGACGTTTCGGCCACAACGCAAGCAGCCGTCCTCAGGTGAAGACCAGCGTCTGTCTTCCCGACAGACCTGGTCTTCACCTGAGGACGTCGTGAGAATTATTTTATTATGTTTTATTTTTATTATTTTATTATTTCCCTTCTACGTGACTTTACCGAAAGAACCAAGAAGATGAATCCCTGCAGTCACAAAAGCTTTAAATCGAAATTTGGCCAAAATAGTTTCCGAGGATGCGCAAAAACTGAGAAAGCCCCGGGGAGCCGGGGAGGAGGAGCGCGAGGGCAGGGGGTGAGGGGGTCGTGTGCGGCGGCGGCGGGCAGCAGGCAGGCTCACTGGCGCGTTTGGAGTGGAGGTTGTAGTAGGGCTCGTCGCAGGCGTAGTCCACGCTTGCTTGGAACGTCGTGGAGTCGGCTTGCGTGCATCTGCCGTTGTCGAGCGCCAACGGGGGACCGCAGTCGACGACTTAAAAACAACACCATCAAAAAAAGCATCATCATCACGGTGGCACGGCGGTTTACGCCCCGGGAACAAGAGCCGGCATTCGATTCTTGACTCGGCCGTTTTTCTGCCGCGCGGTGTTTGTGCGTTTCTCTCCCCCAGTTTCCTCGCATGGCTAAAAAGTATTACAAAGTATCTGGCGTTGGCCAAATATCTACTCGTGAAAAAGAACATTGAGGGTTTCCCTGGGTTACAAGCTTCAAGTAATAATAAAATGATCATTCCCACTCGGAATGTTTCACTGCCAAGTAAGTCAGTATCGCCACGCTCAAATGCTATAACCAGGCATTTAACTCCGCACTCATCCATACAGTATGTCCTGAGGCAGCGGTGGAAATGCTGCACTTCTATGTCTGGGATCAGTCCATCTAGGCCAAGGGTCGACAACCAGCGGCTCTTTCAGGACTGCTTCGTGTCGTTATTTATGAAGGACCGCGGACTGGTTTCCATCACGTGCGTTTCGGCTCTTGAAATATTTAGTTTTTTTTTTTTACCAAATTCGAACAAAAATGTCTCTTCATGTCATTTTGGTAAGGATGACGATGGTGCTGCTGAAGCTGTTTTTGTAAAAAATTATTCTACTCAGAATTATTTAATTGGGACCCTCCTACCCTGTCATAATTACTGCACTAACCACATAACACATTGTATGATTACCATCGCCACTGCTGTCATCACATCTGTTATTCTCAATTGCAATTCAACATTTATTTCATGTGGTGGTGGTTGTTGTTGATTTAATTTAAGTCCAATTTGCACTTCTGCAGTGGTTGTGACAAAGCCTTCACGGGCCCGTGATTTGATTTAAATTCTGTTAAAATGTGTTGAAAATTGTTTTCAAATTGCGTTCTTTCGTGTTCCTTCAGCCTGAGACCGAACCGCACAAAATGCACCAAGCAATGGTATTTGGCCAAACATGCCAAGGACAGGACTCGCTTGAGAACGTCTTGAGACCTCATCCAAAGCTTTCCTGGGAAAATAATTGAATTTTTTCAAATTATTACAGCAGAACCCCTCTTAACGACCGCCCTTGTTAACGACTAACTGCTTAATGACGGACCTCCATAAAGCCCAATGTGTAGTGTATAGTGTAGTGTATAGTAGTGTAGTGCCTCCATAGAGCCCAATGTGTTAGATTACCGACCATTCCCCTGTTAACGACGGGCTATTGGAGGTACAATAAATATTAATGCATTGGTTAACTATTCTTTTTTAATATAACGTGTTTATAATGTTGTTAGTATCTTGATGTATTAATATCCATTGTTGAAATATTATAAAGTAAGTTTTTTGGGCGAAAAAGGCGGAACTTTCGATGCTATCGGAACGTCATTAAGAGGTGATTCTACTGTATAGGGTGCTTAAATTTTTGTGTCAAACACTTATATGGGAATATTGTTTTTAACATGATAACAAGCGGATGTTAATAGCTTCAAAAAGTCAAAGAGTCTCCACTTGCTCGCCATCATCGCCAACGCGTGCCTGGAATCTTCTCCAGGTGGTCTCCAGAGGTCTCCAAAGCCCGATAGGCGCATTTCTCGTGGCATTGTTGCAAATTCTCAGAAGCGTTAACATTTTTTTGAAGCACCCTGTAAGTTTACTCTTTCTTTTTAAACCCTTTATATTAAGTTCACTTGCTTGCTTGCTTGCACGTTTACGACCGTGCAAATCTTTCGGTCGTTTTTTAACCCACTTCCCGTGATCCAATCGAGCTGACATTTTGCACACAGACTCGTTGTGCGTGACAATTTATTTTCGTGAAAATTTTTTTCCAAAATTTTAGGAAAAAATAAATTATATTTAATTACCAATTGCTTAATGGTGGCAGGCAATCATCTGACCCATAGGTGGCAGCCATCTCAAGCCAGAGGACGAGAGGACTCTAGCCGCCACGCATATAAAGGATTTATAGTGAAAAACTTTGTTTTTACAGGTTAATTTTTTTCCTGCACATTTTGCTTGGCATTGACAGTGGGGGGGGGGGGGGGTTCCCCCTTAGCTCGACGAGTGCACCGCCGACTCACTGCGGCAGCTGGGCGTCATCCTGCTCCACGTGCCGTCGCTTTGACAAGCCATCTGCAGCGAGGGCACCACCTCGTCGTCTTCCTCCTGCCCAGGCCATCGTCATCGAACGTCATCATCATCAGCATCATCATCATCATCATCGTCGTCGTCCGTTCTTCCCGCCCGCACCTCCGGTTAGCACGGTTGGAGTTCCACACATGTACATGAGCTGCAGTTCCTACCTCACCGATTCAACGGATTCAATGTAAAACGGTTAAGTTATTCTTCTTGGTTATTTCGGTAAAGTCACGTAGAAGGGAAATAATAAAATAATAAAAATCAAACATAATAAAATAATTCTCACGACGTTTCGGCCACAACGCAAGCAGACGTCCTCAGGTGAAGAACAGGTCTGTCGGAAAGACAGCGTCCGAATGACAGCCCTGTTCTTATTATTATTCTGTCGCCTATACCATGGTTACTGCTCCCACGATCTTCACTTACAGATTCCTCCGCCCATGCTGAGGACTCAGCCCACCCGACACTGACTGTTTCAGCTAACCCATACATTGTTGTGCAACCGCCACACAGCAGGTCAAGAAACGTTTCTCTTCCTGATACTTTCCTCGCAACAAATGCCCGACGTTGGAATCCCCTCGCATCGTCTCATTTCCCCAAGTTCTGATAGTGACCTTGCTAATCTCAAGAAACTCTTAGCTCGTACACCTTTAACTCGCACTATTTGTTGCCTGTCGCTTGCCATTTTGAGGCTTTGGGCCTGCCCTCAGCAACCGTGATAAGATAAAATAAAATATTAATTCAGTCTTTAATTGTCCTGGAATACGCTCATGAAAGAACTAGGCCCATGGATGGTTCCTCACTAAGCATGACCACTGCCCCGATTAAGTTCATCATCGTCTCCATTATTTCGACTAAAATACCGTAACTACAACGATTTATCACCGCTACCAATATCCACAAAGACAACCGATGAGGGATGGAGTTGGCAAATTTAATCCAGTTACATAACGTATGTATGTTGAACTTCTTTCGCGCCATACGTAGCCAACCATGCTTAGCGGAGGTTACAGGGCAAGGACTACACAAAAAGCAGTTCTAAATAAATTAGTTTTCAACCGAGATTTAAAGTGCGAAGCTCCAGTGACTTCCTAACATCGGAAGGACGATGCGTTCGTTACACGGAGGAGCAGATGTTGCTCCCCGCAGAAACGAGGATGGTCAGACGGATCTCGCGGGTTCCTGAGACCAGGTCAGAAATGAAGAGGCGAGGAAAACGCCCAAAGTTCATACCGAACTCAAACAAGCAGAACGACGAGTCGACTCAGGCGGCTCGGATGGGAAACGTCTTTCGAAGGTGGTGGTGGGGGAAAGAGGTGAGTTTGAATTCGCGCGCCAAATATGGTGAGCCATGCATGAAGGATTGCAGAGTTGATGTGGAGCTGATGGCCCTGGACAAAATAAGATGACCAGGAAGGCAGACTCCCCCCCCCCCCCTGTCACGAGTAGGCAATGAGGCAGTTTTCAAAATAAAAGGAGCCCTGATGTTTCTGGTGCATTCATCTCATTCCTCGATCACTGATGCGCAAGCAGGGGGCATGTTGACATGTCTGGACACGCTTGCAGAATTCTAGATTTGAAGCTTTCGTGACTGCAAGGATTCATACTCTTCGTTCTTTCGGTAAAGTCACGTAGGTAAAAAATGAAATTAAAATTAATAAAAATAAAACAATGAAAAAATAAAACAATAAAAAATTCAAAATAATAAATAATAATAAATAATATACTTGCAGAATGTTCGCTAGGGGCCAGTGTTTTCCAAGATAGCCCCTTTGTCAATAACAAATAAACACAAGTCTCATCTGGTCAACACTGCGTCATAACATAAAATTATATAACGGGATGTTCACGACGAAGGACCCTTCCCTCAGAGTTGAAAGTGGGTCAGTTCTACTCGGAGATTGCACTTTATACTCCGGTGCATTAATAACTTTAAATAATGCGGACACACGCGCATCTGGGAAGTGACGTTTTTGTTCTACGTTTTTTGAGCAAATTGCAAATGTTGAGCGTGATCGGCAACTACGAGTCAGCCAAATTCTCTGCCCTTTGCTCTGAGGGAGAGTCAGTGTCAGAGACAATTGCTGTGTGGGTTGTCGCGGACGCCACTGCACCGCGGGTTGTGCCGCATGTCATTCCGACCAATTATTTGGTCAAACGGCAGTATTCATGACCAATGTAGCTTGGTTTGTATTCTTTTTGTTTTCACCCCGCTGCTAACACAGTCCCTTTAAATGTGTTTTTTGTCTCTAAGCTCATGAACGATAGTTTAGGACAGCTGGGAGCAGCAGAAACTCTCCCCGGAGTATCAGCTGGTGGGAGGAGGAGTGATGCCCACCACAACAACAACAACAACAACCCACAGCAGCACTGAGCAGCTAATCATAATAATTTGAATTCATACAGTCTACATTCTAAAGGCATCTCAAGACGCGGCGCAGGGCAAGTGTATAAAACACACCTCCTTGAAGGGGCACAAAACAGGGGAGAGAGAATGTCAACCATGAAAGGTGCACAAGCGTGACCTCCCCACGGTTCTGAGGTTGATTCTAAAACACAGCAACGTGGCCCAAGAGGGAGAGTTAGGTGGTGCATATGCCCCCTCACAGTCTAAGCAAGCAGTTCCCGGTTGACAGATTCGCTGTCCTTGTGTGGCACGAGGCTGTACCCAGAACCAGCCTGCAAATGGGCAATAACTCGACTCCCCAGGGGGGAGGGGCGGAGCAATGTTGCAATGTGTGTGTTTGTTTTGTTGTTGTTGTTCAAATGAAGCCACGACTCACCTGAATTAACCTGTAGCCAGTGTTACAGAAGAACACCACCTGGTCCTTAAAGGAGTAAGAGTCCTGGACTGGCTCGATGAATCCGTTTGCTGGTTCCACCACCATGGGGCATGGGGTACCTGTGCGACAGAGCAGAGGGCGTGGTGCTAAGAAAGGTACGCAAGAGAAATCCACAGGATCTCGTTTTTTTATTTTTTTATCCGTTATTATCCCAATTGCTCTTTCGGCATCGCACGACAAAGTATCTTGTCGGATCGCTCACAGGGTGGCGGTGCGGGCCTCCGTGTTCAGGGAATGGCCCACGTAAGCGGACATCGCAAATCAACAACACCTTGGGGTCAAATTCGGATCGGTGCAAACTGATTTAGCGTTTGACTTTCAGCAGATTAATGGGTCCAAATCGGTGGGAAACAGAAGTTTGTTTGGAATTTACTTTGGCACCAATACATGGTTTTGGGCTGGTCTTAATATATGTGTGCAAATCGTGGGTGCCTTCCAATTTTGTCGAGTGTTCTATAAAATAAAGGACACTGATGGAGTTTAAAGACACTTCTCTTCTGAAACTTCTGAATATTAATGTGTCCGCAATTTAAATTGTGTGAAGAGGCTTTACCGCTTTAGATGTCATTATTATATGATTTTGTTAAAGCTTATTTTCTTGAAGCTGCTTTAGAGGTGGCTTTAATAATAATAAAAAATCCTCACATAAATCAAAAGCCCTCTGATGTCATTGAATTAGAGATAAATCCTGACATCAAAAGAACATTCACACAGCTGAATCGTAAAGTAAGATATTACGAATATAGGCAGGCTAATTTAAAATAGTAATAATGATCATCTGTTTGAAAAAATATCCGAGCAAACTAATTCATGTTTAATTTCAGCGTTTTGTCAGGATATACAATTTTCGGCAGGGAACAGCCGTTAGCAGGTGAGCGTGGTAACGACGGGCGCGTGTAAGGTAGCTTCTAATTAATCAGTGCCTGCAACATTAAAAATGCAAAGCAGCTGTGGTCACAGTTGCATCGGTGACAGGGGAGTTATTTTCATAGGCGTTCGTGGATTAGGTGGACAATTAAGGGACTGCAAGAGGGCCCCTCTTAAACCATTACGCAGTTACGACTCCTATTTATCGTTTTATTATTTCATGCCGTTATCAAAAAATGTGGAAGCTCCATTAAACATAGTGTTCATCAGTGCTCAGGCGAAGATGGATTGCAGTGCACCTGGAAATATATACAGTATTTAACGGGTTTTTTTTTCTTGCTTTCATTCACGAAACATCAAACTAATGTCGGACGATCCAGGACTCACATGTTTACAACAGCTCTCTTATGGATTTAATTATTCTTTCAATCGCAATCCCAGCGAACACCCTGGATGTATGGGAGGCACCGTTCACAATATATCAAGTATGGCCTGGGCCTACCCTAGGTCGACCCGACCATAAATTAGTACGCATGAATGACAATAATGGGTGGGACATGCAAGATGCTTGCCCTGTCACTGTGCCTATTACGCTAGCCTTGATGATAGTAATAACTCACGGCACTTTTTAAAATATATTGTTGAATGAAGGTCTTCTCATGCCACCGTCGGTCACGGGGGTCGTTTGGCTTTTCCTATGCAATGGAGTACGCGTGTTCCGCCGCGCGGCGTTCTGACCCTTGGAGGTGTAGTGAATCTTCCAGCCCGTGTTGTCCCCAGACTTGTCGCTGGTGAAGACGATCTCGGCCACGGGGCTCTTGGTCTCGATGGGGTCGGGCAGAGTCTTCCCACAAAAAGGCCCCCACTGCTGACCGCCCGACCGAATCTGATGCAGGTGCGTGGGCGCACGCGCGAAATAGACACGCACGCACACACACACACGTACGCAAATTCAGAGGGAGGCGTGGGTACAGACCAGGGCTGGCGCTAGGGGGATGCGCTGGGGTGGGCCCTGCACCACCACACGGCCCTTTGGTACCACCCCAAGTTCACTCTCCTTCCTTAGAGGTGCATCACCGTGACCGTGGCCCATCCTACAACAGCTGTCCTGGCGCTCACATCCAAGAAGAGCTGGAGCCAGGCATGGTGGTCGTGAGTTCGATCCCAACCCTGACACCTCTACATTTGGAGTTTGTATGTCTCTCGCCCCATGGTCGCGTGGATTTTTCTCCTGGTCCTCCGGTTTTTCCCCTCCGCAATTATAAACATGTGTTTAGGGTATTTGTCTGCGATACCTTTCCACTCGATAAGCCACTTTAGTGAGCTATCATTTGGGATGGCCAGGTCGCTTCTGCGAAAGAGCTACGTAGCTAAGTGGGCCTTACCTGGTAAAATGAATATAGTTTAGTGTAGGTGAGAACTCAAGAGACTATGATCTCTATCATGGGCCACCAAAAGTGGCAACAGCAAAAAAAATACACTCAAGTGCGGCTTTGATGCAAATAGAATCGACACGCGTGTCACAACGTCGTACCTACCGTCACGCTGTCGTAGGGGCAGTTGTCTATGTGGGGGTGCAACTCCAGGTCGAAGGTCTCCTGGAAGGCAAGGTTCAGCACAAAGCCCTCCTCCAGGCGCACCGTGTAGCTGCACTGGGAGGCCCACGGGTAAGGCTTGGGGTACTCTGGGCTCGACAGTTCGCCCTGCCGCTCCGTGAACACGAGGCCACTGCACTCCACTGACGGCGGGTGGGAGGGTGGGCACCACGGGGGGAGGTGTGGTTGGCACAGTTATACAATTGGTCAACCACGCAGGGCCTCGCCACGTTTGGGACACGACAGCGTGGCGCAGTGGCCTCACAGATAGAAGTTCTCAAGTTCGAATCCCAACACGGGGCACCTTTCTGTTGCAAGTTTTGTATATTCTCATCTGGTTTTTGTATGGGTTTCCTCTGGATTCTGAAGTTTACTCCCTTAGCTTCATACGTCACTCGTGTTAGCCAAACATCGCATTGCCAAAGAGAATTAGCTGGATATCACTCAAAGGCATCACACACAGCAACATCGCCCGCTACTGCAAGACTTGACAGGACCCTGGAGAAACATGTTCTCGAGACGATGTGAGGCTTCCCCGGGTAAACAAGCATAACAGCAAAAAAAAATATTAATAATAATTCGACATGTCGAATGCAATGACGCATCATTCAAGATGACGATGCCACATCAGGTGTGAGAATCAGAATATTTATTTACACTGGAGGAATCCGATGCAATATGAAGCTTTTTTCACAGATGTCCAGCAGATCACTCATCAGATCACTCGTCAGGTGTAGAGGATTCCTTATCGCATCCGACTTACCAGACGTGACCCGAAGCACCTCGCAGAGTGTGTGTATGTATGTGTGTAAATGTTGAACGTCTCTCGCACCGTACATAGCCAATCGTGCAAATGGAGAGGCACGTTAAACCTCGACCAAAAATACCGTGGACGTTCTCGTGATTTGTCGGGCTCTCCTTACATTTCGCAAGGGGACCCCCCCCCCCCCCCCACACACACACCATGTACACGATTGGCACACCTGTGCAGGTGCGTCCGTCTGGATCCAGGGAGAAGCTGTGGCGGCAGGAGCACAGGAACCCTCCCGGGTAGTTGTGGCAGAAGTGGTTGCAGGCGAGCTCCTCGTGCTCGGAATACTCCGCGCACTCGTCGATGTCTACGGGCGCCAGGGCCGCAAAGCGCGTTCCACGGGGAAGGTCACTTGGAAGCAGCCAAGCGGCCGGTTGCATCGAACGCCCGAAAGTGAGAATCCACCCCTCAATTGACACCGATTTAAAATAGCACCTCAAGTTGTTTCGTATAACTAGAACACCAGGGCAGAAAATACCCCCACCCCCATCTCCACCCCTCCTCCCCTTACAGGCAAAGACAAAGATCCCCCGGTGTATAGACTTTAACAGACTATTAGGGCAAGTGCTTGTTAGCGAGCACCTATGAAAGCTGACATGGGGGGAGGCGGTGGCCATCGCCACGCCTGGCTACCTTTGTCTCCTCCGTGGTAATGTTTACACACCACCTCAGCTCCTAATTTTTACTCATATAAGGCCTAGCCAACCTAAGCGAGGTCCCGGGACTGGTTGGGCTCATCACCGCTGATGTTAGCGATGGGCAAGAATCAATTTGCTTGTCAGGTTTCCACCCCTAGAGATTTAACCACTACACTACCGCAATAGACAGTCTTGCAGTTTCTCGCTCCATAAATGCGGTGCCAAGGTCAAATGGATTCGCCGCCTGTAAACGAACAAATCAATTAACATTTTTATTTTGGGGTAACTGCTTCCACAGCGTTTAAACCCAGAAAAGCAGACAGACGCTCCTCAGTGCTGTCAGTGAGGAAGGGTTGCCACCTCTGACCTACAAAAAAGCAGGGACACATATCATGGGTAGAGGAATATCTAACAATACCGGAATAGGGGAGAGCCTACAGGTTCAATGTATCCTCTCGATACCCGGGATGTTTAACACGTAGCAGGCTTTCGCGACCAATATTATTCATAATCAACGTTTTTGGGTTTAGATCGCGTTGTTTATAAAAGTGTCGTAACCCTCCACCACCCGACACGGCCAATCAGTAAAAAAGTGTCACGTTGACAAAAGACAAATAGTTCACTGCTTTAGCCCACCGGTGTGTTGAAGCGTGAAACCACAACATTTACAATTTGAGTACGACGTTTCGCTGGTAATTGCATCCAGCATCATCGGGCAATTCGCCAGAATGGTGAGGCTCTGCTCTGTCTCCCGTTCTTATATAGAGCAGCAGCAGGGTGACGTCATCATTAACTCATTAACTCATCAGGTGCAACGATTTGAGGGGGGGGGGGTTATTGTAATTATATACTAGATTAGTAATCAGGCAGTTGTTACATGCGAGTTGTAGATTAGTAATCATTTGGAATGTTTTTTATTGTGATTATGCTACATTAGTAATCAGTTGGGGTTTGTTTGCAGAACAGCTACCTCGACACAAAAGGACGGATCCTGGAGAGAAAAGAAACAGGCAACACTACGGCTTGGCCAGGACTCGTGGTTCAGGGCCTACCCACGGCGGTGAAGTGGCCCGCGAACCCCGTGTAGTGCTCCTCGTTGGAGTAGTCGGAGCGGAAGGTGACCGTCATGGTGTTGCCGGGCGCCAGGATGGGCTCCTTCCCGGGGACCTTCTCTGTATCCGTGCTGTACTGCCCGCAAAACAAGCCCAGCTGCTGCTCGCCTGCCATCACCTGTCCGGGGTCGGGTGACAGGCGATGTGGGGTTAAAAAAAAGGGGCAAATCGCATGCCCTGAAATGTGCTTTCCCACGCGTCGTCTCCGCTGCTGGCAGAAGGGATCGTGTCGAGTCGCCCTCCCACGGAGATCGTCGGCCGACCGTTTCGCTCGGGTTGAGGGTGGCGAGATGGCTGAGGGTCAGCGTTTCAAATCACGTGTGGAAGAATGGATGGTATGTTTAACACGTAGGCTTTCGCGACCAATATTATTCATAATCAACGTTTTTGGGTTTAGATCGCGTTATTCTGGAGAATTGCCCGATGATGCTGGATGCAATTAGCGAAACGTCGTACTCAAATTGTAAATGTTGTGGTTTCATGCTTCAACACACCGGTGGGCTAAAGCAGTCAACTATTTGTCTTTTGTCAACGTGACACTTTTTTACTGATTGGGCGTGTCGGGTGGTGGAGGGTTACGACACATTTATAAATAACGCGATCTAAACCCACAAACGTTGATTATGAAATGGATGATATATTTGATTCAATTATAAGTTGTATGCATTGGGTCCATGTGACCCCTGCAGACAAGAGTGACCACTATATTCACCACCATGTAAAATTATAATTATTATATTGAAATCGCCAGTAGCCTTTCCCCCCGAACTGCTACTGTTTGGGAAGTGGAGTGTCGTGGATACTTTACGGTGGCGGGATGGTAACTACCTCGCCTGGTATACAGGAGGTCGTGGGTTCGATGCCGAACCTGACGCCTGTATATTTGGAGATTGCGTGTCTCTCTCTCCCCGTGGTCGCGTGGATTTTTCTCCGGGTCCTCCGGTTTTTCCTTCCACATTTATAATCAACATCGTGCGTTTCGAGTACTTGGCTGCTAAAAATGTGCACACGATGATGAGCCGCTTCGTTGAGATATATACTCTTAGTTCTTTCGGTAAAGTCACGTAGGTAAAAAAGGAAATTAAAAATAATTAGTTAATTAGTAACACTTTTTTATATAAATTTTTATTTCATTTTTTACCTACGTGACTTTACCGTAAGAACTAAGAGTATGAATCCTTGCAGTCACAAAAGCTTCAAATCTAGAATCGTTGAGATACCATTTACAGTCAAGTCGCTTCTGAAAAAGAGCTACTGTATACAGCTCAGTGGGCCTTACTCGGTAAAAAAAATTAAAGTTTCGTTTATTTTTAGTTTAAAGGAGTGGAAATACTCACATTTCACCCCACCACAGGGACCTACCTATTGAATCACTGTGGTGTACCCAGATATAACTTCTGAGTAAACAGAGGTGGGTAGGGGTCAGGGGGGGGGAGAGATTTAAGAAACTTGCTTCATCGTTACAGCTGCAGTGCTGGATTTCGAGTTCAGTATGCTTACCATTACACTGTGGCAGCGTCCCCGTAGACACTGCATTGAGATCACACATTGTCACATTAAGTGTCCCCCTTGCTCTGTGAACAATTGGTGGCGTTCATCTCCATCGTTGGCTCCGAGTGGGAAAGAGTAGAAACGCCACTGTTCTGTGGCAGGGACCATTCCTCTTGATTAACACAGCCCAGGTTGATCTCTAACGCCAAACGGTGCAACCTCGTCACAGTGGATTTGCTCCGTCGGCCTCAGAGCGATGATGACGACGATGATGGGCTGAGTTGGCCCTGACCAGGGACTCAAACTTACGTTGAAGTGGCAATGAGCGCGGGGCTCTATCCCTTGAGCTACGGCAGCCTCCACACGCGTAACATGTGCTTGCCATTTGGACGTGCCGTACATGTAACCGCCTACAGTAATTGTCAGCGGTCCCATGTTTCGCTTACACGTGTTTCCTGAAACCGCCTTGGCAGTCTTCCTTTAAAATGCTTCTCTGTCGCGTTTGCTAAACATTGCTCATACGGCCCATCAGACATGATGAGGTGGAAGGGGGGGGGGGGGTAAAATGGGGTACACCGATACCAAGGCTACAAGCTCAGGTGTTGGTGTGGGGGTGGGGGGCCGGAAACACAACTGAATATTTGTTGTAATATGATAGCTTAGCGAGTAACCATGTCCCGAGAGATAAATGCCAAACAAAGGGTTGCATTGTGGTTAAACATCCCAGCTATTTGTGCGCACACAGTTCAATCTCGCCTCTTGTTCAATAAGAGAATAACATTTCAAAAGCACGTGCTGAGTAAATATTGCAACCCTGGCTAGCATCTCGGCCTGGGAAAAAAATGCTCCCTTTGACAACGGGGACAGTGAGACGGCTAGGGATGAGGGCCCCCCAGCCAACAATATCATTTATTACTGTGGTTCATAACCAGCCCCCCGCTCCAAATGAAGATAAATAATTGTTGCTATAGTTTGTGCCCCTTTGGTAAAGGAGCACGTGTTATTTTTGACCGTTTCTGGCCTTAATTCAGATTTTATTTTTGTACACCCCCCCACCCACCCACCCGCCCAATCGCTCGCCTGGCCCGCATTCGTCTCCGCACAGCATGGCCACACATCTGTTCGGAATCATGGGGATTTCTCAAGGCTCGGTTTGCATACACACGCACAAAGAAAAGACAAAGATCCCCCATATAGCCTTTTAACAGACTGTTGAGGCAAGTGCCGTTAGCGAGGAGCACTTATGAACGCCGACACGGCACACGAGGGGGTGCGCGGTCGGTTCTCACGCCCGGCCACCTTTGTCTCCGCCGCAGAATGATATGTAACAACTCAGAGTGTCACCTTGCGGAATGAGTAATTTTTCCGAAGCAAAAATGAAATAAACGTTTAAATTAGCCGGCGACTAAAGCACAGCGCTAGATATCTGATCGACCATTCTCCAATGTATGTACTGACGAAGACAAGCCACGTGTGTGGACTCTAAAATAAAACCACTCTCTTCGTAAAATGAAAGTCCTTGCGGGAGTTTCTTTATAAACAATTTGTACGAGAACCATGCAACGAACGAGGAAGTCCTGCAAAGAATAGCCAAAGACAGTGAATCAAGACTCCTCGGTCAGGTCAAGTGGATGGTGATGGGAGGGAACAGTGGCAGCTGGATCGGCACGAGGCGGATGCTGCTGGGACCCGCACCACCGAATATCCCTTTGGCACCACGCAAGTTCACCCTCCTTCGTGGTGAATCACTGTGCCCTCGCCCCCCACACACACACAACAGGGTCCAGCCCCCCCCCCCACCCCATCTGTGCAGAGTTGGAGCCGGGCCTGAGTGGAAGGTGTTGGGAAAGAGGAAAGGCCACGATCTGACTGGACGTCAAACCGCACATGACGGGACGGAAGCCGTCTCCGTTGAAAGCCGATGGTGACGGACGGAGAGAGAGACACTGGAAGGAGACATCGGTGAACGATCGTGGCCCAACGGTCCAAGACGCCAAGGGCCTAGTAACAAGACGCCCGTGTGCGAAACGCGCGCACGCGCGAGAGAGTTCTGCGGGACCGGCTGGAGGCTTCTGGGGCGAGTTCTCACCTTCAAGTAGTCGTACTCGCACAGGTACGACGGCTCCACCTCGAAGTGCTGGAACTGCAGGCGCAAGCGGTACCCGGCTGGCACGGACAGCTGCCAGGTGTGGACCACCTGGTTTTTGTACGGCGTCGGGTAGCCGGGCGACGTGAACGATCCGCTCATGCCGCTCAGGCGATGCTGCTTCTCGGCCACCAGCCCGCACAGCGCCGGCGGCAGCAGCAGCAGCAGCGGCAGGAGCCACCGCGCGCTTGAACGAGAAAAGGTGCGTTACCCTCACGCGCGCTTCTGTCATCCATTATTTAATCGCCCCGTTGCCGATAACGCAGTGACCCAGGGGGCAGCCTCCACGGGATGGCCGTGTCTTGCTGCGGCCGCTTTAAGAGTCTCTCCGGCGGGCGCCTGGTCTGATATAAAATAAATTCGTAATGAGGGCACTTTCCCCAGGGAGAAATTGGTGAAGGTGCACAGGCCTGCAAAGTTCTTAATCAAGCCGCTTCTGGCAGACGGGCCCTCCACTCGGAGGAGCTTTACAAGTCCGCCCTTCCACTCTCACCAGACGTCTTGGAAAAGGTAGGAATACCGACACTTTCCTAGACCACACGGGAAATCTCTCGATCGAATCTATCGACTGCCTGTGTGGTGTACAGTTCATTTATAGCGTTGGGTGGACAGAAGGGGATTTGAGTAAGTCCACAATTGTTTCAACTGCTGCGCCAGGAGATGGAGTCGAATGGGAGACTTCTGGACTGCAAGTCGAGCGCGCTGACCGTCATCGCACCACGGCAAGCAACGTTCATTTTCCCTGCGGGTAGCTTCGTGCCAAACGTAGCGCTTGGTGGAACGAGTTCTCCCGAGCATTTGAATATAGGTAGGCAGGTGCCAGGAAGTCCTCCCACGCGTGAGCGTGCCAGCGTTGCCTATTACGTGGAGAAATAAAAAATAATAATTTCCATCGTCCCATCTGTTTGCCTATAAACCGTCGCCTGAAGAAGTCTCTTGACGTCGTGGGCATATGTATGGCATTACGTGCAGGTGTGCAGGTGGTGTGGTAAAAAAAAAGTAAAAAATTTCCCAGTAATTGCAATTATATTTCTCGTTAAAGAATAAGCTTTTTCCACACTGTGCGTATTTGTATTTATACGCAGATATGTCTAAATCATCATCAAAGACATTAATCTCACCATCTGGAACGCTCTTCCTTCCGATATTAGGAAGGCACTGGAACATAGCACTTTTAAACTCATTTCTTTAGAACTGCTTTTTGTTGTTTAATTTGTTGTCCTTCCCCCGCACCTCAGAGGAGGACGGTTACCTACGTACGGCGCGAAAGAAGTTCAACGTACATCACGCCCCTCTTGCAAGGGCAGTGCAGTACAATGTAGACCTGACATACAGAGCTAGGAAAATACATGCGCTTTAAACCAAAGAAAATATCATATATATACATTCTAAACACTATCAGTTGTTATCCATAATTTAAACGTTGTCTCTCTCTCTCGCTGCTTATCTTTCAATATTTTAAAACAATAATTAATTCAACTGGCCTTGGCTAAAAGTACCTCCTTTTGAAAATATGGACCCATAATTATTTGTTCTTGCTGTTGACAATGCTTTCGTAGTTGGCGGATCAAGGTCCAGAACCAATGTCAACATTTAAAAACTCTTCGCAGGAAAGGTTTCACTTTTAAAAGACAAAACACGCGTGTCAATACGTGTTTACGCAGCAACAAACCTTGTTAGCCCTTTTGCGTGTAGCCAATCACGGTTGGAAAGATGCATGTACCATGCATACCACTGCGTGCTTGGAATTAAGTAGAGAGACAGAAACAGAAAGACGTGGACTAGATAACAAACGAGTTAAATGCGTAATTCAAACACTTAGACCAAGTAAGCGTGCTTTGGAAGGACGCGTGGATAAGAAAGAATGATGGTGGATGAGTAAGCATTGTTGCTGCTTCGGAACGCAATGCGTCCGAGGGCTACGTGGATTGTTGCATGACGAGAAAAGAGCTTGGGGATGCCTTCGTCCAGCAGCAGATTTTTTTTTATGATGATAATGCATCACGGTCTACATCAAAACCTACGATTTTAACTTGAACAAAGCAAGAATAGGCCGCGTCACGTCTGCGTTCAAAATCAGAGCACTCGGACGGCGCAACTGTTTATAACGTTCTCCGGCTCTGTTAAACATGGGTCGTTTGGCGATGCTTATGACTTGGGGGGTGGTGTGGAGGGGAAAAAACTATTTGGAATGCAGTGGTACCCCGGAGATCGAACTTAATTCGTTCCAGAAGGCCATTCGAACACCGATTTGTTCGAACACCGAATTAATTTTCCGCATACAAATCAATGTGAATTACATTAATTGGTTCCACACACAAGAAAGCTCTCATTATAAAGCATTTTTACACGAAGTTTACAATAATTACATGCATAAAATCATTTTAAAAAACAAGAAACACAATAAATGGAATGCATGAATAAATATATGGAATAAATTAGATAAATGAACATTGAACTTCACTTTACCTGTAGTAAGGGGAGTTGATGGCTTGAGTGGAAGGTGATGAGGAGGAGGAGGTGGTGGTGTTATTGTTTGGTAGGGGAGTCCCCTTCCATAATAACGTCGGGTAACTGCCCTTCTGGTGTTCTTTCTCTTTTGTGCCTCTTTTCTGCCACTAACTGTGAGTCACTTGAGCCCTTTCTGACTAAAAACTTATCTATAGAGGTTTGTTTCTGCCTCTCATACGGTAAAACCTTTGTCTGGGCAAGCGTCATGCACGCTGGCCATACGCGTCTCAGCCGTACAGGTTCTTTCAAGTCGCGATTGCCCATTCGACCTCCGAATTTCGCTCGTTTTCAGGGGGAAAAAATGTTCGGAAATATCGTTCGAACACGGATTTGTTCGAGTTCTGGTGCGTTCGATCTCCGAGGTTCTACTGTACAGGCTTGAACGTAAGACTTGATGATATTCCGTGGAGCTGCACGCATTCTCACTGGAGCATTTTGTTTAACCATGATGCTAAGAAATTATGTCTGCACTGTATAAATAAAACACAGCCCCCCTCCGTTATCATCACGTCGGCGAACGATGCAAGCAAACCTTGCACGTGCGAACATTGATCGCTTTTGCTCACGTGTTAGAGAGCAACATTAATGGCGGGTTATGACGCTGCTGTCATAGACGTCACAGGTAACCAGGACATGACGACTCGAGCGGGGATTCATTTCTCAGGGGGCGGGGAACTTTCAACAGTCGCTGAAGCCCCACCCCCAGACCGCAAGGCCTTGTGGGAGTGCATCATTTGGGCAGCATTGGCTCAGTACAAGCAAGGTCTGGATCAGTTTCGACAGAAGGACTTTGTGCTCGATGGGAAGTTTCAAACATAAATGTTTTATGTGTATGTAGAGGGATTGATATATGAAAGTAAAGATTTATTCCTAGTCACCTTATTTACTTATATTCTCCACAACGACGCTAATGATCACTTTGAGTTATGAAAAATAAGAATAGGCTTTATCCTTTCTGGCAATAGAACAGAACAGGAGGTGTTAAGATGTCCAAACACTAAATATAAACCTTTTGCAAGGAATGATGTCTGCATTAACCAGACACGGTACTTGTGGTGAACATGCAAACAAACATGCTCTGGTAATTATATATGCATGGCCAATCAGCCTTCAAAGACAATGCATACATTTTCAGAGCATGTTTTGTTTACATTGAACAGGTTCTGTGAATAAAGTCGTTATCATTGCCTTTTTGGTTTTATTTTTCCTATGATTCCAGACTTATGGGACACCCGGTATACGTTTATATACACAGAGGGACAGGTATGTATAGAGAGGGAAATCGTCTGTACTTTATCCTTAGAGCGACTACGATGAGCAACACAAGGAGGTAAAGTGCCCAGTGAGCAGGGTAGGGGGAGGCTTTAGAATAAAAATATTGAATTATACTGGAGGAATCCGATGAGCTATAAAGCTTTTTTTTCACAGATGTCCAGTAGGGGCGGGTCAGAGAATTACAACAACAAACGATACAAACACGCGATAGGAGTGCAAAGTATAGGAAAAGTAAGAAAATCATTTGTTTTAATCTAACCAGGTAAGGCCCACTTGAGCTATTATCTTATTTTTCATAAGCGACCTGGCCACAATAATGACAGCTCAACGAAGTGGATTGCGATCACGTGAAAATGTATAGCAGATAAATTACACTGGTCAACAAAAAAAAAACGTTTTTTTTCTGGCCTGGACTTTTGCGGCTATTTTAGACTAATTTCAGGGTGCTGATTCCAAATCTGATCTCAGATTTTCTCTATCACATCATTTTTATGTTATCGGCATACCCCATTTTCATTGATTTTACCCGAAATTATCTCTGTCACTTACGATTGCAAGTTGTTGCGAATCAGGGACTGCTTTAGTGTTAAAATATGGTGCTGTATTTTTAGGATAGCGTGTTTATAATATCATTTTATATAGATATCCACATTTAATATTTTTCTTCTGCAGTTTTTATTGAAAATGCAATATTTGATATCTCAAACCCCTGATGTGATAGCCAAAAACTGATGCCAGATTTGGAATCAGCACCCCAAAATTACCTTAAAACCGTTGGAATACCTTATGCCAGAAAAAGTATGTTGACCAGTGTATAATCTAAACGCATGTGTAATTATAAAATACGGAGACGTGAGCACCGCCTCTCCTTCTCAATCGTTAGTCAATACAAAAAATCATAATGTTGGAGAGCGCTGGACAAAATTAAAACATTAACACAACCACGGACGACGTATCTGGGGGTTTATGAGCTTGTTAGAGCAAAGGATGCAAGATGAACAAAAAAGCAGATCGGTCCACGGTCCGTTCAGAACGTGTGCGTAACGTTCGCCTAACGTTGACGACGTCGTGCACGGCCGCGGAGTTTCCGTACACCCCGCCAACTCTTCGAACGCAGTTAACGTTACCGAAAACGAATGTGTATCACGCACGGATATTACCTGAACATGCTCGCCATGGGTGCCATCTCCGTGCCAGGCTCAGGGAGAGAGGGAGAGAGAGCTTTGGTTCAAGCGTCTAAATTAATGAAATAAGCGCAACTTGCTATGGGGCGGAATCCACACACACACACAAAAAAACACTGGGCGCACACCATTGGATGAAAGTTGGCGTTCCGTGACCCAAAGAGAACGGTGGTTTGGGTGGGGTGGGGGTCGTCCCGTCACTGCGCATTGCGCGTCTGTCTTTGTGTGTCTATTCAACCCGAGTGGGGGAGCGGTGGCGCAGTGGTTAGCGCATTGCGTGTCTATCTTTGTGGGTCTATAAAACCCGAGTGGGGAGCGGTGGCGCAGTGGTTAGCGCATTGCGCTACGAAACCCGGTTGACCCAAGTTCGATTTCCCCCCCACTCCGCCCGCTCACGGAAAACAATCGAATATCTGGGTGCTCCCCTAGGTCGACTCAGCCGAAATTATGAGTACCTTGTGGGGTATATAAAAACATCAGCACTGGGGGAGACAAAGACGGCCGGGCATGGTCCTGGCTCCACCACTCCCTGCGTGTGCCGTCCCTGGCTTTACATGCGCACTCTAACAGCACTTGCTCCAACAGTTTGTTAAAGGTCACATGGGTAATATTTGGATTTTGCTTGTGTATGTCATCGTCATTATCAGTCATTACCTCTCCTCTGCTGGATGAAGGCATCGCCACGCCTGTTTTTGCCATGCAACAATCTTATATAGTTCCTGGCACGCGAGCCGATTTCATCGCTCCTTCTCCACAGTGGACGTTCCCTCGTGCGTGTTTCCCTCCTTTGGCCGCTACTCCGTCATTAGTCTCGACCACCCGCCATCCATCCCTTCTCGCGGGGGAAAAATATGTTTCAAAACTTCTCTTCTCTTAAAAAAACACAACATACGCAGACACAAATACGCAGCTGTTGTGAAAGGTCGGCGTTCCGTTTGTCTGTACATTTGTTCGTCAAAAAATATAAGAGTCTCACAGAAGTCCTGAATCAAAAAGTTATAGAAAGTGGGGGGTACATAGTTGATCTAAAAGGTGTCCAAATATTGCCAAGCCTCCCCCCCCGCTCCAAAAATATTTTTACCCCCACATTTTAACATTTTTATTTTGTAGGCACATATATCTACACACCCTACATTCAGTAGAGGCAGCGGCATCCATTCACTCTACAGTAGTACCTACTGACTCTAAAGTAGCATCGAGTGATTCTATGACCACCGATGTTATTTCACATCAAGCGGTGCCTCGCGTGGCCCAAGTGTCGAAAGTTCACCTCGACGTTAGTGCCACCTTGTGGTGGCCTCCTTGAGAGTTACTAAGCAGCCCTGCTGCACGTTCACACGTTTCGCTGTGCCGTGGACAGCTTCGTTAACGATTCTTCAAAGATAACGCTGGCCTTAAAATTGTATTCTTTTTTGCATTATTATTTGTTCAAATATACGTATAAGTAGGTAGCCAACAAAGTATTCGATTAACATTCAGGTACCATGAAATATTCGGAACCTTCGGTTAATATCTATTCTGTAGACATGTACCTCGAATTAACATTTTAACATCATTCATTTTCATCTAACAATCATCTAATACAACTAATGAACTATGACTAATACGTTTTACCACGTGAGCATACTAACTTTTATATTCCCATTGCTATCATAACTGTGAGATAAATAAAATAAAAAAATGTATGCAAATAGATGAACCTCTAAGTATCACACGGTGAGACGTCGTACCCGCTACTTGCAAGGCTCAAGACCGGAGGAAATTTTCACAATTTCTGGCACTGCCTGACGATGGTGCTTGTAACTGTCAGGGAAACGCCTGATGAAGCTAGTTATAATTACTGGCGAAACGTCGTACTCAGATTGTAAATGTATTGGCTTTGTTCTCCAATACACCGGTGTGCTGTACTAGTGTAGTGTAATAGCGCTGGCTGGTGACCAGCAGCAGCAACTACAGTACACACGCCGGTGAGCATATACACACGGCTGTGTGTCGGCAGGGCGGAGGAACTGGGGCAAGGGTCATGGAGGGCCCCATCTGGAAGCCCCTGGAAGCTGCTAGTAGGTTCCAGAAGGGAGGTGTGGCCAGGGCGGAGCCAGGCCGCGCTGGGAGCATAAAAGGGGCCGAGAGCGGGAGTTGGAGGGGGCCAGTTTAGGAATTGGATCGTCTCGTCGCCATCGTCGCTGTCGTCTTCGCTCGACATTGCGCTGCTAGACAGCCTGTTAGCGGTCTCAGTCAGCGCCGCCGGTGCTAGACGGCTCGTGTTGTGTCATAGGCTAGCGAGTACGGAGTGTGTGCGGGCGAGATCTTGTGTGTTAATAAAAGGTGCCTCTACAAATATCGTCTCCCAAGTCACTACACTACACTAGTAACGAATTGGCACGTTCTGTTAACGTGACAAACCTTACTAATTGGCTGTGTCGGGTGGTGGCGGGGTTTCACGACACGTTTATATATTTACGCGATATAACCCGACAAAAAAACCCCACCTGTATTACGGATGATATTGGCCGCGAAAGCCTACGGCAGGGGTCGGCAACCAAAATAACAAGAAGAGCCATTTCTTTCCAATTCGGTACAAAATTCAGTATTTCAAGAGCCGCAATGCATCCGAGTACATACTGTATATACGTACATATCGTCAAGAAGCAGCCCGTAAAAAGCCGCATGCGGCTCTGGAGCCGTAGGTTGCCGACCCCTGGCCTACGGTGTTAAACTGCACCGCTGCGTGAGTGTACGGCTCACGGTGTGTAAACTACGCGAACGAAACAGCGGAGAAAATCACGTGATGCGCCGGCCCCCCTTGTCGACAAGGACAACTCCCGTGACTGCAGGGATTCATCTTCTTGGTTCTTTCGGTGACTTTACCGAAAGAACCAAGAGGAAGGACAACTCCGTCGAGACGAAGACGAGGGCGCGCGCCTTTCGTTTTTGCTTCTCCGCATCCCCAAGAAGAGATCGAGAAGCCTCCAACTCGGGGGGGGGGTCGTCCGTTGTCGGCGTCTCGTCAACCTCGGCGGGACACGCCCACTTCTACATAAACCACGCCCACTTCTACATAAACCACGCCCACTTCTACATAAACCACGCCCACTTCTACATAAACCACGCCCACTTCTACACAAACCACGCCCACTTCTACATAAACCACGCCCACTTCTACATAAACCACGCCCACTTCTACATAAACCACGCCCACTTCTACATAAACCACGCCCGCTTCTACATAAACCACGCCCACTTCTACATAACCACGCCCACCTCTACACAAACCACGCCCGCTTCTACATAAACCACGCCCACTTCTACACAAACCACGCCCACTTCTACCAAAACCACGCCCACTTCTACATAAACCACGCCCACTTCTACATAAACCACGCCCACTTCTACATAAACCACGCCCACTTCTACATAAACCACGCCCACTTCTACATAAACCACGCCCACTTCTACATAAACCACGCCCACTTCTACACAAACCACGCCCACTTTTACACAAACCACGCCCACTTCTACACAAACCACGCCCACTTCTACATAAACCACGCCCACTTCTACATAAACCACGCCCGCTCGGAAGTTGGCCCCGCCCACCGTTTGTGGACAACCCATGCCGACTCTGCCGATATCATTAAGAGTGGAGCGTGCAGCCAGACAGTCGTGTTTATTTAACCGGTACAAAACCCCAGATTGTCGCTTTCTTTGTTAAAGCACGCTACTACAGCTTTTGTGAAATCAGTCTCGGTCAAACAATTGTGTCCGGTAGCCTTAAATATAACCAGTCTCACTCGCCTGTTTGTCCAAGCTTGATATGAATCTGCATGTGCATGACTTCCCTTGTTTGATCTCTCCGTCTGTTTGCCCATAGCCAACAGCTGTCCCTGCTCAGCTCCGCTACCCTTGCGAGTGTTGAGGGCTCCACGCTGCAGACACGCGTCAAATATGACGCAAGTCTTTAACGGGAAACCCTCGTCCCATGTTTTCCACCCACCCCAGCAAAACAGACAAGGGGACAACGTGACCCCTTCGCGTACGTATCTCCTCCAGATAAAATAATGTTTGTAATAATGTGTATACCACCCATCAGCCCCCAATGCCCCCTTTCTGGGAGTGTTTAATTGAGGCTTGCGTTGATTTGCAAACACGAGCAAAACGATTTAAAGCTTTCGTGACTGCAGGGATGCATCTTCTTGGTTCTTTCGGTAAAGTCACGTAGAAGGGAAGTAATAAAATAATAAAAATAAAACATAATAAAATAAAATAATTCTCACGACGTTTCGGCTACAACGCAAGCAGCCGTCTTCAGGTTGCGTTGTAGCCGAAACGTCGTGATAATTATTTTATGTTTTATTTTTATTATTTTATTACTTCCCTTCTACGTGACTTTACCGAAAGAACCAAGAAGACGAGAAAAACGCTGAACCAGTTTCAACACAGTGTCTCTTCGGCAGGTCAAGCTTGCCTGAATCGACGCTGTACTGGAGAATTGCCATGTGTTATAGGGGCCGTCCATAAATGACGTCACGCGATTTTAGCCGATTTTTGACCCCCCCTCCCCCCCTCGTCACACGGCGTCACAAAAAGTCAGACCCACTCAAATATGACGTCACAAAGCTCTGCCCCCCCCCCCAAAACCATATTTCCATTTTGAAAATAAACATGCTTCAAATCACTTTAAACTATTTGTCATTTTAGTGCGTATTTAATGCGGCGCTGCACTCTGATGTTGTAGGAGAAAACACGTATTAAAAAGGTGTTGGAAAGCTAAAGTTTAGCATAAAATTCACTTGAAAATATTCAACATCTTACTAAGACTGCAGATGTTCAGAAAATGATATTAAAATTATCTTATAATTATAAAATATTTAAAATAATTATAACTATAAAAAAATAGTTGAAACTTTGTAGTAGAACGAAGCAAAATACAGAGTACAATTATAACAATCACATATTTATTCAACAGAATGAAAAGCCCTGGTAGAATCATTCAAATCAAAGTGTTTAATAACAATCATTCAACAAATTTACAAAATTGATGCTTCTCCATTCTCCCATGGAGAAGCAAAATGCTCTTTCATGGAATAAATAAAAGGTGACCTTAGTAAAT